CTTGGATTATTTTGTGTTATGTTCTCTACGTCATATTATTTTCAGAATATTATTTTTTATTTTTTATATCAGCATGTACTTTGAATTGATAACAATGGAACAATATATGTATTACGTTATCAACAAAATACAGAATTACATCTATATATTATAAAGAAATACAGTCTTCTATAATAAGTATAGAAATAGAACTAATAAGCTAGTCGGATTTGGGTATGATGCTAGAAACGGTTTTAGACGTAGTTACGGAAAAGGTTCTGGTATTATATTATCAAATATCGTAACTTGTTATCACTTATCAGTTATCTGCGGTTTTTTTCTTCCGAATTTTTATGAGTAATTACTTTCCTACTTAGTACTTACTAAATTTAATTGTTCATCGTCGGGTCATGGATACATTTTTAATAAGAAGTAATGCGGTTTCTCAACCATCTGCAAACATTAATGAGGTGAGTTAAATCTTTACAACTTACAAGTAGGTAAAACAAAAAATATAATTTAGGTAAGAAATTAACATACATTTTTATGTATGTTGGTTAACTATTTCAGACAAATATTAATAAAGACAAACTGAAACGTCCTGTGGAAAATGCTGAAAACACAGAAACTGCTGTTCCTTCTATAATTTCTAAAACTGTAAGTGTCTACTTCCTACTTACATTTAATTTTTAATCTACTTATTATCATCAAAACACATACCTATTACAATTACATTGTAAGACAAACAATTTTTATTTTTATTCGAATTTACATATTAATAGTTTTCTCCCAGAGTTATATTGCATATACCATGAGTACAATAATTTAATAATTATTGTAATTTGTAGGCTGAAATTGATCAAAATTCAAGTCCCTTCAATATGGATGTAGGACTATATAGCTGTGGAAATGTTCAAATTGATGACCATCTACACTTGAATGTGATTCAAAATAGTTCTGTCCCAACTTCTAACTTTGAATATCCTTTTTCTGTTCATTTTTAAAAAGGTGTAACGATCGAAATTGTAATTAATATTAATAATATTATAAACCATTATGCGATAGCGCTCTCCGTCCCACGGTCCCCTCTGCCACCGCTCATAGGCGACACCGAGTTCACACA